CTGTCCAATTTTTTCAACACCATTTATTAAAGAGGCTGTCTTTACTCCACTGTATGCTCTTGCCACCTTTGTCAAATATTAATTGAGCGTATTGCCTTGGGTCCATTTCCGGGTTTTCAGTTCTGTTCCACTGGTCTATATGCCTGTTCTTGTGCCAGTACCAGGCTGTTTTGATTACAGTGGCTTTGTAGTATAACCTGATATCTGGTATTGTGATCCCACCTACTTTGTCTTTCTTTTTCAAAATTGCTGTGGCTATTCGGGGTCTTTCTTGGTTCCATATGAACTTTTGAAGTATTCGTTCTAGTTCTATGAAATATGTCATTGGTATTTTGATGGGGATTGTATTGAATCTATCCATTGCTTTGGGTAGTATGGACATTTTAATGATGTTAATTCTTCCAATCCATGAACAGGGTATGTGCTTCCACTTTTTTATATCTTCCTCTATTTCTTTTTTTAATGTCCTGTAGTTTTCTGCAAATAGGTCCTTTACTTCTTTGGTTAAGTTTATTCCTACGTATCTTAATTTTTTTGCCGCACTGGTAAATGGGATTGTTTTTTCGGTGCTAATGTCTTTTTAATCCTGAATTATATTTCAATGTCTGGATGCATCACAGTTTATCCATTCACTACTGGAGGACATCTTGGTTGCTTTTGAGGTTTACCATTATGACTAAAGCTCCTCTGAACATCCATGTGCAGGTTTTTGTGTAGATCTGAGGTTTCAGCTCTTTTGAGTAAATACCATGGAGCATGATTGCTGAATCATATGGTAAAAGTATATTTAGTTTTTTAAGAAACCACTCAAATGTCTTCAAAAGTATCTGTACCATACTGTGCTTCCACCAGACATGAATACAATGTCTTTGCACTACATCCTCTCCAGGGATTGGTGGTGTCAGTGTTCTGGATTCTGGCCATTTTAATAAGTGTATAATGGAATCTTATTGTTTAATTGTCATTTCCCTGATAACATTATATGGAGCATTTTTTTCCATATGCACATTTGCCATTTGTGTATCATCTTTATTAAATGTCTGTTAAGGTCTTTACTTGTTAATCTTTTATTTTATTTGTTCTCATTGGCTTAGAAGCTTTGATTTATGTATCTTATAATTTTATGGCTATTTAAAAATTTTGACATATATCTTTAATATTACATTCTTTAACAAAACCTCGAGTGCTTCAATATATTTGTTCCTTTCTGGAATAGAAGAAACTTGTCATAATTTATTTATTGTTATTTTTTATAATACATTTTTATTGATTTTTAGAGAGAAAGGAAGGGGAAAGGAGAAAGAGATAGAAACATTTATATTAGAGAGGGAGCATCAATTAGCTGCCTCCTGCATGCCCACCACTGGGGATCGAGCCTGTTACCTGGGCAAGTGCCCTGACTGGAAATAGAACCAGTGACCTCTAGGTGCATGGGTTGATGCTCAATTTTATTTTATTGTTTTCCAGCACCATTTTTTCCCCCCATCCTCTCCCACTTCCACCCACAAACTTTTTTTTTGTCTTGAATTATAGTTTAATACTTTCAAATATGTTTTTAAGTAAATATTTTTTGAAGCTATCATATTTTCAATTATTACAATGATATATTTTATCATTTTCTTTACTCACCATTGTTTATCTTATTTTTTCCTTCTTGCAAAACTGTACTTCTTAAATTAATGGTTCTTTTATTTATAAAAGATTTGTGGTGATGAAATTGCCTAGTATTTATAAACTTCAAACATATTTTAAATTGGCCTCACACCTAAATAATAAGCTCTCTAGTCATATAATTTTAGAATGAAAGTCTGTTTATTCCAAAGCACTATAACTGCATCGTGATAGTCCTTTCCTCCCGATATCTACTGTAGATTTACTCTCTTTCTCTATCCTTTCTCCATTCTTTCCTGACATTTTTCTTTGTACCTACCTTCTTGTTCAGTGATTTTGTTGTAACATTACTTAGCTCCTCAGTTCCCTGCCTGAGTAACAATACTAGTTTATGTGTTCATATCTCATGGCAATGCTTGGGGTGTTGCACATCCTGTCTCTCAGTCATAGCCCCAGGCGGTGAGGGGGTGTATTTCCCACCTCAGTTTATGAGCAGATTCTGGGCCCTAGCTTTTGACTTCACTGAGAGAATTCAACTCTTCTTCAGTTTTTACAAAATTAAAATTAGTCCAAATTCAAGCTTCCATGACCTACTTTTTATCCTAAAGTCCGAGTTCTGTGGTTTCAGCCCTGCTGATCACTTGGCATATTTGTTTTTTCTTTTCTCTTGAGATGGCATTTGATCTGTCTTTGCTTTTGTAAAAATGTGTTTTCTATTTATCATTTCCTTGTGGATAGGTCAGAGGCAAAGTATTAACTTTGTGCTATTTTGATTAAAGTCTAACATTTCTAGTAAATAAGAGTTTCATTTAATTTAAACTCAGTTTATAGAAGCTGCAGGAATATTTGCTAACTTACAAATGGCATTCGAAAGACATTAGTTTTGAAAATTGAAGTTATAAAATTATAGAAATATATCTTTGTATCTCTGAATTGCCTACCTTGCTGAGTTAAAAACAAACAATCCAAATGGGTTTTAAAAATCAGATGGGAAAAAAAAACTGATCGATAATAGTTTAGGTACTACGAATCCACCCGTGCCATTTAGTAGGACTATATATATTTGTTGCTCCCATGTAGTTTGTTAAGAAAAAGAGCATTTAAATTATATTCTGTCACCAAAAAGACTCTGAATAGCCTCAGCAATCTTGAGAATGAAGAACAAAGTGAAAATATCACAATATCTGATATCAAATTATACTGCAAGGCCACTGTAATCATAGCAGCCAGGTACTGGCATAAGAAAAGGCATATTGACCAATGGAACACAACAAAGAGCCCAGAAATCAACCGACACCTTTATGGGAAATTAATATTTGACAAAGAAGACAAGAGCATATAATGGAATAAAGAGAGTCTCTTCGATAAATGGTGTTGTGAAAATTGAACAAGTACATGCAAAAAAAAAAAAAAGAAAAGAAACTAGACCACCAACCTATACCATATAAAAGAATAAACTCTAAATGGAGAAAAAGACTTAAATGTAAGTCACAAAACCATAAAAATCCTAGAAAAAAAACATAGGCAGCAAAGTCTCAGACATGTCATGTAGCAGAATTTTCACAGATACATCTCCTAGGGTAAAAGGAACAAAGGAAAAAATAAATGGGACTACATAAAACTAAGAATCTTCTATACAGCAAAAGAAACCATCAACAAAATGAAAAGGTATCCTTTATATGGGAGAACATATTCACCAATAATATATCAAGGCAAATAATCCAATTAAATGGGCAAAGAACCTGAATAGACACTTCTTCAAAGAGGACATACAGATGGCTAATAGACATATGAAAAAATGCTCAGCATTACTAATCATCAGAGAGATGCAAATTAAAACTACAATGAAGTGTCACCTCACATCTGGCAGAATGGCTACCATCAATTAATCAACAAACAACAAGTGAAGGTGTGAAGAAAAGGGCACCCCAATGCACTGCTGGTGGGAATGCAGACTGGTGCAGCCACTGTGAAAATCATTATGGAGTTTTGTTAAAAAATTAAAAATGGAACAGCCATTTGAACCAGCAGTTACACTTCAGAGAGTATATCCTAAGAATCCTGAAACACTAATCAGAAAGAATATATGCACTCCTATGATCATTGCAGCATTATTTACAATGTCTAATGTCTGGAAACAGCCCAAGTACCCATCGGTAGGTGAGTAAATATAAAAACTGTGGTACATTTACACCGTGAAACATTATGTGGCCATAAAAAAGAAAGAAATCTTACCCTTTGGGACAGCATGGATGGACCTGGAGAATATTATGCTAAGTGAAATAAGCCAGTCAGAGAAAGACAAATATCACATGAACTCACTGGATAGAGGTAGGCAAAGTGGGAGAGGGAGATGGGGACATCTGTAATAGTGTGAACAATAAAAATAAACTTAAAACATGAAATTGTGGGATTAAAGAAGTGCACAGCAACATTCTTGTCAAGAGAAAGTGGGACTGGAGTACCACGTGGCAGTGTCGGCATCACAATTACTCAGATTGTCACAGATCATGGATGAAGTGCAAGTAGAAGGCAAGATGCTGAGAGATAAAATGTCTGGGACGTGTCACTGCTATGACAGATGGAACTGAATGAAGAGGAAGGGAGAAGTCCCTCTTCTTTTCTTGAGCTGGATGTCCATCTTCTTTTCCCCTCTGACATCGAAGCTCCTGGTTCTTGGACCTTCAGACTCCAGGACTTACACCATCACAACCCTGGTTCTCAGGCCTCTAGATTCAGACTGAATTATATCAAACTTCCAGCTTGCACACAACAGACTGTGGGACTTCTCAGCCTCTGTAACTGTGTGAGCCAATTCCTATATATTATATATAAATTAATATGTTTATAGTTCTGTTTCTATTGGATTTTCCCTGGAGAACCCTTACTAACACACATTTGATTCTAAAACGTTTTTCTAAGAAAATATAAAAGACTTCAATACATTAAAAATTATATTCTGTCAAACTATAATGGTTTCTTTGTAAAAAGTAGAAAAAAAAGTCAAAAGGGAAAATCATTTTGGGAAGAAGTTTGAAGAATTCTTGATTAAAGAAAGATTGCATTGTGACCTGTAAAAGAAAGTGATAATTTGGTGGCACAGAGATTTTTGTATCAGTAGATTTTTTTGATAAGACTATTGAATTTTCATATTGAGTGCATTATTTCAGAAATTAGGAGGAGATTTCGATGCATTTTAGGAAGCTCATGTGGAAACAAAAACCTATCACTTATAGTTGATGAAATAATTTCATACCCTCATATCCTTTTAAATAAAATACTTATGATTCAAGCCTGATTTTTGGAAACTCTAGAAATAACATAATTTTGTTCAAACAGAAATTAGCTAATTTTTTTTCTAAATTGCTTCCTTTTCCTTTAATTTTCAGGTTACTATATGTGGGTAGGAGCTCCACATGCATCTACTCTTAGCCATTTAGACAGCAGGGCTTATCTAAACAGCTCTGTGTGTCACTGCTGGGGCAGGGACTGCCGTCTTCAATTTCATTACACTATGGAAAACAGTGTTCTGAGAGCAGGTCTACATAACAACAAGGTAAGAAGAAACTTGCATTTTTTTAAAACCATTGAATACATGAAATTTCTATTCTTGGCAAATTCTGTTTCTATTTCTCAGTTGTGTAGGCTTTAGGTATTCTTTAGCTTGACTTTATTTAGTATACCTTTAAAAAGGAATATTAAGAAGCTGGTTTAGGAAATACTGTCATATACCAAAGATAATGTGATAATTTGCACAATCTATTTCATAAAACTGTTAAAATTTATAAAAGTATATTACAGAAACAATAGGTTTAATACAATGAGCTATTTGGGAATCTTTTGTTATCTCTGTATTGAAGTTCTGATGTGATCTGTCTTGGGTTTTAGATCCATATATTATTAAAGCTATAAATATGATGGAAGCAAATTATTTGTCTTGGTACCAATAGATACAATTTTAAAGGCTGGCAATTACTGATAAAATACAGATAAATGAGTCATTTGAAGGAAAAAAAATGGCACACTGGGCAGAGTAAAAGTTGTGGTGGTAATGCTAGTGAGTAAAACAAATCTAAGCCTTCTTTTTTTAACCTAACTTCAACTGAAAGCAATCCTCTACAAGAGGAAAAATACCTGAGACATTGATAATTTCTATATTGAGGAAAGATTTACTTACAAATAGGAGTATAGAAATCATAGGGATAAACAGCAATCATTCTAGAAATGAGGAACATTAGAAAATATTTGCAGGAATTTTAATATTGGAAAAAGGAAGATGAGAAAAGCATCCAAATTTGTTTCTTTTGGCTCAGGATGCTTTGGGTAAATCCAGCTGAAACTTGCACATGACATCAGCTAGATTCATTTTCCATCAAAAGTATATTTATCATCTACCCTTACCAAGTGCCACTAACCTTCTGTAAATAGCATTTTATTCTGAAGTTTGAAGTATCATCATAATTTATCCTCAAGTATCAGAATGATTATTAGCAAGATATTTGAGAATTCAAGAGGGATTCTATTTTTTCCTAGTTCCATTGCATCACCTCTACCTTTCCCTTTTTTTGCGTCATTTTCAACATGTCCAATCTTCTTTCTGGTTTTCTTCTCCAAGACATTCACAGAGTTCTAAGGTACAAAGTTGGATGAATACTCTCATTAGATGGTCTAATACATTTTTCTTTGTTACGTGAATGAGACACAATTTCTAGCATTCTGTAACTATGCTCTATCTTTGTAGTAGTGTTTATTTTGCAGTAGTATTTGGCAACCTAATGCCCTGAATCTATTTGACATATTTCACTCAGTTTATTTAGGTGTAGGGTAGGTGGAGGGGCAAAAACATTTCTGTGCCATTTTTGTAGTTCTACAAACTTTCCAGATACATGGGAAAATTTTATAAAACAAACAAACAAACAAACAAAAAAGGTTCAACTACACCTGTATGTGTTGTAGTGTTTATGTTTCAGTCATCTTTCGGTATAGTTTCTTGCACCATGTAAACCAAGCCCAGGAAACCTCTATGCAATTTGCAGCCTTCTATAATTTCCAGTTTCCTTCTTCCACAAAGAAATTCTAGAACAATTTTGTTAGGTTTACATTATAGTTAAAGATGCTTTAAAAATATATGGCACTATGAGTGTGCTTTTGCATTTCAGGTAATTAATTAATGTTCTATAACTGTTGAATGAGTTATCCTACATTTAGAACAAATTTGTATTATATATCTTCTAATACTTGGGATTCTTTTAATCTGCTCTGAACACTAGTGATGGATTTTTAGTTTCAGTGTATGTAGAATGGAAGTATGCATTACTGGAAGTGGGCAATGTCATTCCTCTGTTGGCTTTGGGATGCTCTAAGAAATGAGTGAAGTAGACTGGCTTCAGACACCACCTCATATACTAAGAATACAATTATCAACTATCCATTTCCCACATTACAAGAAAATAAGTTTATTCATGGAGAACTGATGTGGTATATTAATCAGAACCAATTAAGTGTACATCATAAAGAGTGTTGACAGATCATTAGTTTACCCAGTGTTCTGCAAGACAGTGGTCTGTCTTCCCTGACACTATTTGCTATTCTTTATACACGTAACACATTGGTCACCAGTGCAAAACCTGCATTAAAGTACATTGAGGTCACAAGTTAATGTTTTATCACACACTTATAAAAAAAGGCTCCAAATCTATCATTAACAAAATTAGCTCTTGATGAAAATTATCATTTGCATCTTCCATGAATACCCTAAAGGAAAAACCCTTAAGATATGTGCAGGTAAATCAAGAAATACCTAAGAGAATGCTGAGTCATTTTCTTTATATTCAGAAGCCATCAGAACTTGAGAAACAGAAAACACAGGTAAGAGGCAAGTAGTTAAATAAAAAGTTGACTCAGAGTCAGCTTATGTGTGTAGCAGTTCTAGTTTGTGTTGTCTAAGTATTCTCAGAATTAGGTCTCATCTACTAAGGCAGTGATCACAGTAACAACATATCTTTTATCCTGAGGAGAGTTTCCTTGACAGTGAGACAAGGACAGTGCCCAGCTTGTGGTGCTACTACATATTTTCTAAGTTCCCAATGGCAAGCAGGAAGACACAGTTGGGGTAGGAAAGACAATGCCTTAGAAAGTATCTGTTCTTGTATGATACAGTTTTTAAAGCCATAATACACTTTCCTTGAAGGAAGGTCTTTACCACAGCACCTGTGCAATAAAACTAGTTAAATAAATAATAAAATAAAATAAAATAAAACCTTGAAATGAGTACCTTTGATTTTCTTCATTGGAAGAGGGGAGGACAAGCTGCGATCTCTAAGATATCTAGTAATACATATTTTTCTTGAAGGGTAAAATGGCATTATTGATGCTGGTCTGGAGGAGTAAGGACATTTTAAAATTTTTTATTTATTTATTAAGATAATAAAATACTAAAATATCACTTGAAGGGCTTTACTGAATTGAGGGGCTCTTTCACATTGACACCTGTTGAAAGTAAGTAGCTAAGAGTCTGTGAGGACGGAAGTAAAATAAAAGCTGATTTTGTTTACTTGGGGTTATTTTATTTTTCATTGTTGTGTCACAAGACAAGAAAATATGGTATAAAAGTCTGGATTTTATATACAGTATGTCATTAACTTAGTGTATGAAAAGCCATTTAAGTTTAGAAAGGACTCTGCTAACTTTTCAAAAAAGTAAATGAATTCTTCTTCCAGTAGAACGGAAGAGACTCCGTTAGTCAATGTGAAAAAAAGAGCACAATTGCTCTCAATTATTCTCATAAAGTGAAAGTGAGAGGAAGTGATGGATGCAACTTACCATGCGGTGTCACTAAAAACATCTGTGGAGGACATGAGTGTCTTGATTCTAAATAACTGAAGTTGCGTAGGAAATAATTGGGGGAAAAAATAGTTGTGTGTCTCAACTTTTTATAACTCCAATTCATCCTGATGTAACCTGGAGGCTATCAGCTGAAAATGCATCCACCATGTATGTTTCACTGCCTTATGAGAATCTTAAGAGTTGATATAAATAAATAATGAAATGAAGTACATTTTAATAGATTTAGACTATCTTCTGAAATACGTAAGACTTGGAAATTAGAGTAGACATCAGAGGGCAAAGGACTAAGTTGAAAATAGATTCATTTTTTTAGAAAATCTTTGTTATGAATCAAATAAATGAAGCCAAGTAAGGAGATAAATGCTTACAAGTGTTTGAAAAAGTATGAGTGTCACTACAACTAGATGTTACCTTCCAGTTTCGTTGCCTATCTCATAGTAAGAGGAGGGCACAGAGAGAGTCTCAAAGCTTAACCTAAGAAATAATTATGCCGCTTTTTGCCTTTTCACTATGTTGATATATGAAAAATTAATGCACTCTATAGGTAAATATTATGAACAATCTGGTATATCTTTACCAGGGAAATGTCAAATCAGCTTGACTGTTTGATAAAATCCAAAGAAAAATAAAAATAAGATTAGTTCACAGCATAAAAACATAGTCATGAATTATAAAGTCCAAAACCAGAGGCAAATTTTTGGAATAGATTATAGACTTTTATTGAAGATGTTACCTCATAATATATAGTAATGTAATTTTGCATACACTTTGTAACCTGGGAAATGATCATTATACAGATACATGCTATAGCATGTACATTCTATAGGTTTGGAGAAATGATAAAGACATATATGCACCATTATTTTATCATACAGAGTATTTTCACTCGCTGCTCCACCTATTCATGTCCCCCCATTTTCTAATTTTTCCTTTAAAAGATGTTATAGACATTTTTCACCAAGACTTGAGATTTTTTAGCACTTCATATCATACAAGTAGGGGATACTCTATTAAAACATAATTAAGAGAGTACATATGTAAATATGAATGTAGAATTTGGGGAATGAATACTGTCTTTCTCTTCTCATCAAAGGAAGAAGAAATATTTTGGACATACAACATATCAACTAAAAAAAAAAAAAAAATAATGGGTGAAAACAGATGTGTTAATACCAGAAGAACTGAAGACATTTAAGGTATAAAAGGGAAAACCAAGTATTTTTGTCATAAGTTTTATTATTAGCTATGCAGTAGTGAATTTATCACTCATTGCTAAATTTAAATTAGAACTTAAATCAGGGATATAGACTTGTATGTTTGAGGAGAGCAATTACCTACTTGTTTTCATCCTGCCTAGCCCTTCTCTGTCCAGATTTCCCAAGTGAAGGACCCAGAGAGTGACTACTCTTTTTTAAAGCTTCCTCATTCTCCATGGGCTCCCTTGAGAGAGCATCCCTAACACCATGCATTACAAGTAGTGAAGCAAATTGAATTATGAAGCAGATAAATAAAAACTGGTATTGAAATGCAGTAATTTACATCTTATAGCATATGGATAACTTTACCTATACAGAGATATATCTGAAACATATATATACATATATATATATAAACATATATATATATCCCCTCATAGAAAGGCTGACTCTTAAAAAATTTACTTGGGATTTTGTTGAGATTGTACAGAAAATTATATCTGATAACATTTTCTTTCTTTTTTTCATCCTCACCCGAGGACATTTTTTCCATTTTTTGTTCAGATAGAGTGGGAGGGAGAGCGAGAAAGAGAGAGAGAGAGAGAAACATCAATGTGAAAGGGACAAATCGAGTGGTTGCCACCCACACGACCCAACCAGGGCCGGGAACAAACTGCAACCGAGGTACGTGCCCTTAGTGGAAACCGAACCCGGGTCTCTCTGGACCTCAGGCCGACATTGTAACCACGGAACCAAACCGGCCAGGCTGATAACATTTTCTTAAACTTTCATATACAATGTTGCCTGTGATGTCTTTCTTATCTAATATTATGGCAATATCACAAAATATAGTTAGTGGCATAACATTCAAATATCTGTTATTATGAATTTCTATTTAGAATTTTATTCTTGAAGTGCAGTACTTTATTTAAGACTCCATTCATTTTGTATTGTATATAGAAGATATAAATATATTTATACAGGGGTGTGAGTGCATGTGAGGCTTATGAAAACCAATTTCATTCCTTATGCTAATACCTTTTTTGTACATTTTGCTATTTGTTAAAAGGGAGAATCCAAATGATAATAACCTGTAAATCAAGAGATTTTTAGAATCTCATTTACTGTTAAAATTGGGAATTCTGAACCATAGCATTTTTGTAGCAATCTCAGTAAAGTTGAGGTTTATATTATAGCCTATCGAGTTCACATTTTGATACTATTTTAATTTTTCTAGGCTGATATCTATCTTTATAACTTCTGAAACAAACACTAAGGGATTAGAGTTTTATTCTTTTTACATAGACTGAATATTAACATTTTGTTATTTAACTCAAAGACAAAACAAAGTAAAATATAAAGAAAATAACTTGGAAGTTATTCTAGATTTCCAAGTGCATATTAAATGTAAGTAGATTTTCAATAGTTGCAGATTTTTGAGACTTAAGTTTAAAATTTTCAATTTGAGAAAGTTTAAATTTTTCAGTGTTGGAACTTCAAACTGATATTTCTGTGTATCTGGTCTCTTGCTGCTATGAAAATATACAGCTTTAGATCCAATGATTTTTATAAATTTTTACTATGATACTCATTATGGGGAAAGTGTATATAAGCATACACGGTTTTCTTAATATTAGATATGATTTAAATCTAATATTTTTTAGACTAAATATATTTGCATACTGAACTTGATCTTAAGTAATTTTTTTTTAAAGTCAGTTTTATTATATATGTTGCTTGAGCTTAAAGGTATAGAAAAACAGGCAATGTATACCCATTAAATTTCTAAGAAATATGAGGTAAAAAGATGAAATCTTTGGGTAAACTCTAATTTGTACAAAGACACTAGATTTGCTGTTCTCCATAAAGTAAAAGAACCTGTTATATAACATACAGAAATAATTTAATACCTTTTCACAAGAAAATACCTCAAGCATTGCAAAAGCTTCATAGTCCATGGAGACATCTAAAATGCCAATCCATGGCACAGTTACTTCTTTCTTCTTCCCCCATCGATCTATGTGGTGGTTTTCATAGGTTTCTGGCCTGATGTCCAAAGGCCGTGAGGCTCTCCAGGACTTCATCCCTGTTCTGCCCGAAGTCGTTCTGGAGGATGGTCATCTTCTCCTGGGTGTCCTTCTCCACGTCAGTGTTGCAGCTGCCATGGGATCCCAGAACTGCCAGTTCCTTGGCCTTGAACTTCTCCCTCTGCAGGTGGTACTGTTCAGTTTCAGGCTAAGCCTCTGCTTTGGCCTGCTTCAGCCTCAGATTCTTTTGTTCACAGGCCTGGGACACCTTCTTGTTGGCCTGCTTCTCAGTCTGCAGCAGCTGCTGGATGACAGGCAGCTGACTGGCCATGGCAGCAGTCTGTATATCTGTTTCGAAGAAATGTCTATTCAACTCCTTTGCCCATTTTTAAATTGGGTTATTTGTCTTTTTATTGTTAAAAGTGTTCTCTATATATTCTGGATACAAGTCCTTTATCAGCTACATGGTTTGCAAATATTTTCTCCCATTCCATGAGTACTCTTACTTTTAAATGCTAGTGTGGCCAAGTATAAATTCTAGTTTGCTATTTATTTGCTCCTAGACATTGAAAATATTCCTTTGACATCTAGCTTACGTTAATAATAGAAGCTGAGTTGTCATTCATTGCTTCTGGACAACTCTCAGCTACTATCTCTTAGAACTTTGCCTCTCGTTATTCTATCTTTCCTTTACAGAACACTAATTTGATGATTGTTAGTCTTACTCATTCTGTTAATTCTGTCTCTTATTTTTTTTTTTAATCTTTATTGTTGAATGTATTACAGATGTTCCTCATTTTCCCCCCATTGACCCCCTCTTCCCCACTCCCACCCCCCTCCTGCCTTTCCCCACACTGTTGTCTGTGTCCATTGGTTATGCATATAAGTTCTTTGGTTTATTTTCTCCCACCCCCCAACCCCCTTCTCTTTGAGGTTTGTCAGTCTAGCAACCAATTTGTTCTTCTTAATCCCTTCATATATTTCACCCATTCCCCCAACCCCCTTCCCATCTGGCAACCAACAAAATGTTCTCTGTATCTATGAGATTGTTTCTGTTCTGCCTGTTCATTTTGTTTGTATATTCCATTGTTGATAGATATGTATTCATTGCCATTTTTTTTTGTTCATATATTTTATCTTTTTCTTCAAAGAGACCCTTCAACATTTCATATAATAACAGTTTGGTGGTGATGAACTCCTTTAGCTTTTTCTTGTCTGGGAAACTCTTTATATGGCCATCGATTCTAAATGACAGCTTTGCAGGATAGAGTAATCTTGATTGTAGGTTCTTGCTTTTCATCATTCTGAATATTTCTTGCCACTCCCTTCTGGCCTGCAAAGTTTCTTTTGAGAAATCAGCTGACAGCCTTATGGGAACTCCCTTGTAGGTAATTATCTGCTTTTCTCTTGCTGCTTTTAAGATTCTCTCTTTGTCTTGAACCTTTTGCATTTTGATGATGATGTGTCTTAGTGTGGGCCTCTTGGGGTTCATCTTGTTTGGGACTCTGTGCTTCCTGGACTTGTATGTCTGTTTCCTTCACCAAGTTAGGGAAGTTTTCTTACCTTATTGTTTCAAATAGGTTTTTGATTTCTTGTTCTCTCTCTTCTCCTTCTGGCACCCCCAAGATGCGAATGTTGGCACCCTTGAAGTTGTCCCAGAGGCTCCTTACACTATCCTGATTTTTTTGGATTCTTTTCTCTTTTTGCTGTTCTGATTGGGTGTTTTTTGCTTCCTTATATTCCAAATCAATGGTTTGCTTTTTGGTTTTACCTTCTCTACTATTGAATCTGTGTAAATTCTTCTTTATTTCAGTTAGTGCCTCCTTCATTTCTGACTGGTTCTTCTTTATGCTCTTGAGGCCCTTACTAAGTTCGCTGAGGTTCTCACTAAGTTCATTGAGCATCCTTATAAGCAATATTTTGAACTCAGCATCTATTAGGTTGCTTATCTCCATTTCACTTAGTTCTTTTCCTGTTTTTTTTTTTTTTCTGTTCTTTCATTTGGGACCTGTTTCTTTGTCTCCTCATTATGGCTGCCTCCCTGTGTTTGTTTCTATGTATTACTTAACAAGAAGTATGGAGCTTGCTGATACCAGATGCTGCTTGTTTAAAAGAATTTAGAAAAACCTGAAGCAGAATCCAAGACAGGCCAATCCTATGGTATAGTAACTGGCAACAGCTTGGGTCGGCCTGAAAGTTGGGTGGGGTGGGACCTCAGGGAATTACCAGGGCGGGGCTACCAGTGTGAGCCAGGTTGCTGGAGTCCCAGATATGGCGGCTGTCTGCTGCCCCAGGGAAGGGCTCACCAAAGGAACAAAGGCCTCTGACAGCAAGTTTGTCCCGGAGAAAGCTCCTTCTTCAGCCCTCGCTCTAGTGCCAAACAGCTTGGTTCTTCCCTATATGTGTCTGATGCCCCTCGAGCTGCCTCACCTCCAAGCTTAGAGGGAGTGAGTCCGATAAGTCAGTGCGCGGGCCCTTTAAGGAGCTGCCTGGGGCCTCTGCCGCATCAGCCTCCCTGACCCTCAGTTTCTGCTGTTTTTTCCAGCCAGAAGTGATGAGGACTTCTCCTCCTGGCACTGGAACCCTGAGCAGGGCACCTGGTGTGGGACGGGGACCCCTCAGTCCTCAGGGAGGACCTTCCCAGCCGAGGTGTCCTCCTGATTTTTATCCGCCACACGTGGGTGTGGGACCAGCCCGTCCACCTCCGCCCCTCCTACCAGTCTCTATGTGGCTGCTTCTTTAATTCCGTAGTTGTAGGACTTCCATTTAGCTTGATTTCAGGCAGTTTTGAATGATAGTTGTTCTGAAGTATAGTTGTAACTTTGATGTGGTTGTGGGAGGACCCGATATCGCATTTACCTACGCCGCCATCTTGACCGGAAGTCGATCTTAAGTAATTCTTAACAAATAAATAATATTAGTGATTCATGTTTTTGCAAAAAAGAAGATTTATTCAGAAACTTTAAGCTGGAAGAGACAAAAAAAAAATCAGCTTTTTTTTTTTTTTTTTAATTCTTTGTTAGGATAGTCAAGTTTTTTTGTTTTTTGGGTTTTTTTTTTATTGATTTTAGAGAAAGAGGAAGGGAGAGGGAGAGAGAGATGGAAACATCAATGAGAGAGAACACTGATTGGCCGCCTCCTGCATGCCCCTGACTGGGGATTGGGCCCACAACCTGGGCATGTGCCCTGACAAGGAATCAAACTGGCAACCTCTTGGTGAATGAGTCAACCACTGAGCCACATCAGTCAAGCAAAAGAAGTCAGCTTTTATTCTTAGTATCTTATTTATATGTTCACAACATCTAGTTTAGCACTGTTCAATAGAACTTTCTGAGGTAATGGAAATGTTCTGTATCTGTGCATTCCAATATGGTAGCCACAAACTACATATGGCTAATTGAACTTGAAATGTGGCTAGTACCACTGAGGGACTGAATGTTGATTAATTTAAATTGAAATATCCCAAAGTAGCTAGTGGCTACCATATTGGACAACAGAGAACTAATTTGCTATACAGTCAGCTCTTTCTCTCCTTCCCTGCTTGTTAACAAACCATTGCTCTTGGTGAAACCTCAAAGAATATTAATACATTGACATTGCTCTGGCCACTGTGGCTCAGTTGGTTGGAGCATCCTCCTGTACACCAAAAAAGTGGCAGGTTCAATTTCCAGTCAGGGCATATACCTACCTAGGCTACAGGTTGAGGCTCTTGTGGGAGATGACCTATGGATGTTTCTCTCTCACATTGATGCTTCTCCTCTCTCTCTTTCTTTCTCTCTCTCTCCCTTTTCTTCTCTCTAAAATTAATTAAGCCCAGACAGTGTGGCTCAGTGGTTGAGCATCAACGCATGCACCAAGAGGTTGCCAGTTCGATTCCTGGTCAGGGCACATACCCAGGTTGTGGGCCTAATCCCCAGGGAGGGGCATGCAGGAGGTGGCCAATAGATGTTCTCTCTCATCCATGTTTCTATCTCTCTCTCACTCTCCCTTCCTCTCTATCTAAAATAAATAAAGAAAACAATTTAAAAAAATAAAATCAATTTAAAAATCAGTTATAATCAATTCCTATAATAAATACTTTGACATTATCTTACATTGGACTAGCAACATATGGTTGATTAACTTGCTAGTATTGTATACCTTCAGAAAAGCCAGCAATTTGATTGGAGAAAATGAAATATATTTATTTTAATGTGCACTTCTTTGATTATTAACGATATTCTTCTTAGATAAAAATTAATAGATTTTTATATTCTTTAAATTTTTTATTCTTCTGTTGCATCCCTTACTATTTGCTTGACATTTCTCTTCATGCATTCCAATACTACTTTTAGTAGTTAAAACAAACAAACAAACAAACAAAACAGATGCATAGCTCTTGCTGTGTACATAGTGCCAATATTTACTCTTCTTCTTGAATGTTTTATTTTTAGTGTTGAGGGTATTACAGATGTCCTCCATTTTCTTCCTTTTTGCCCCCTCCACCCAGTTCCTGCCCCACCTCAGGCCTTCACCACACTGTTGTCTGTGTCCATGGATTATGCACATATGCCTATAATTTCTTTGGTTATTCTCTGCCCACCTCCCCCTACTTCCCTCTGAGATCTGTCAGTCTGTGCCATGCTTCCATGCTTCTGGACCTATTTTGTTTGTCGGTTTATTTTGTTCATTAGATTCCACATATAAGTGAGATCATGTAATACTTGTTTTTCTCTGACTGGCTTATTTTGCTTAGCACAATACTCTCCAAGTCCTTCCATGCTGTCTCAAAGAGTAATATAACCTTCTTTTTTACAGCTGTGTAGTATTCCACAAATACAATGTGTAATTGTACCAAAGCTTTTTTATTCACTCATCTGCTGATGGGCACTTGGGCTGTTTCCAGATCTTAGCCATTGTGAAAGCTGCAAAGATGATGATCACATAAAAAAATTTGCAGTCAGGGACATTATCGATGGTTAGTGGGATGCTGTATTTTGTATGCTCATGGATGGTTTTTCAGAGGCCTCGGTGGATCTAGTGTGCCCATCAATCTTATGTGTGTGAGTTAAGCTCCTCAAATAGAAACTATGTTATCAATTGTATTTTCCTGCTATTTAAACAAGCATTTTCTTAATAATCTAATCTCTATTATTATTAAAATTAACCTTTTTAAGAGATTATGAACTCATCAAGTTTTCATTTTTTTCCCACCAAAGTTTATTTTTGAAGGGGCTCTTTTGAGCCAGGAAAGTTTTATTGGACTGGATCAGCTTTGGGTCTATGCATGTGCACAGGCCCCATCCAGAAAGCTTTGCTCCACAGATGAATTCACTTGTGCCAGTGGCCAGTGCGTTGCCCAGAAAGAAATCAGTATGTGACTCTCGGCAGGACTGTTCTGATAAGAGTGATGAAGACCCAGTGACTTGCTGTAAGTGACTCAGTAGTTTACTCAGTCACATACTCAAATTCACGACTGTGATTGGATTTAAAATACTAATCGTTGTTTTAAACAAGGTAAAGCTAATATGAAATAAGATGAATGTACGTTGTCATTCTGAAGCTTTCTATCAGCACTGTTCCTTGTGGGGGTCTTTATGCTAAATAAATATTTTGATGGTTATTGCCTACACTGCAAAATCTCTCTGTTCAACAAATGAATAGTTGTGATTAGGTATTTGTATGTCAATGTGTGTGTTTTTGTTAACGAGAGAAATGAGTGAAAGAAGGAATCTCTTTCTAGTTTTCTCCTTGGAGACATATAGTATAGATTGCTAACCTTTATAAATGTAGGACTTTTCCTATTCTGACCAATTACATAGGAAGCTGTGGGGAGGGTGTGAAGGAAAGGGGCTGCCATTGCCTTCCAGGCAGTCATAATGACTGTAGAAATCACGTCAGCCACAGCTGGTGTTTGTGCCTAGGCAAAAAAGGCACACCACCTTTCTTTCAGGCTTTTTATGTAGAATCTCTGAGAGGACTGATGACAAGAAATCCTATATCTATTCAAGCCTAGTAATTTTATTATTTATTTATTTATTGTATTTATTTATTTTTTATCCTCACTCGAGGACATTTTTTGATATTTTGTTCAGATAGAGTGGGAGGGAGGGAGAGAGGGAGAAACATCGACATGAAAGGGAGACATCGAGTAGTTGCCACCCGCACAACCCAACCAGGGCCGGGGACAAACTGCAAATGAGGTACGTGCCCTTAGCAGGAACCAAACCCGGGTCTCTCGGGACCACAGGCTGACGCTCTAACCACTGAGCCAAACCAGCCAGGGCAAGCCTAGTCATTTTTAAAAAGAAATATAATTTAACCACATCATAGTTCTCAGATGATGTAACATCAACTAAGATACTGTATCTCTTTAGAAATGATGGATTCCAACGAAATGAATTCAATTCCTATATCTCAAACAAATGGGTTTTTAAAAGCTATTAAAATTTGACATTTATTTTGATGCAGTATTTTATTTTAGTGAGGTATTTTGTTGAGCAATAGAAAAACATTGCAACAAGGTAAATGTCACCTTTTTCATCAAGAGCAATGAAGAAGGACGTAGGAAACAGGAGATAGGAAAGCAAGAAAGAAATCCTTTATTTATCAACAGCAATTCAATTAATTCCTCAGACACCTAGCTTTAAACATTAGTTTTAAACATCTACTTACAAATATGATCTCAGTGGAATTTTTTGGTGGCTCTCTTTTTATTATTCCAAATAATAATAACAATAATAATAATAATAATAATAGCAATAACCACCAAAGTGAGAACAATTCATTTTCTGTAGAGTGTCAGAGTCCTTTCTGTGCTTTATTTCAAGTTTTTACAACTTGGCTTATTTATTTTGCAGAAGTTCACCTTTCTAATGATTTGCATTATTTTCAATAACTGAAAATAAATGTTTCCTGACTTTTCAGTTGTATATTTTGAAGCTTAGTTTCTTCTCTCTCTCCAGCCTTTTTATCCCCTATGCTCTACTTTTAATTGGTTTTCTTATTCCAGTTCCACCTGGAGTATTAGTAGATATTTTAGCATTTGATTTTGGATATATTTTCCCATTTGTCTTTCTATATCGAGATTGTTTTGTTTTTAGAGAGAGAGAAATAAAAACATCCATGAGAGAGAACAATTGGCCACTCCCTGCATGCCCCCCTCTGGGGATTTGGCCCACAACCTGGGCATGTGCCCTGACTGGGAATCGAACTGGCGACCTCTTGGTGCATGGGTTGATGCTCAACCACTGAGCCACACCAGCTGGGCACTATATTGAGGTTTTATTAATTAAACATCTGGCATTTTTCCAGAAGAGTGTTTCTTCATACAATTCTGCTATGTCATTGATGTGAATGCAGGGATAGATGTTTGTGGTTATCAACAAATAATTACTTCTTAGCCTAAGTTTCCCAAATAATGTTACCACTTTTGACCAAAGAAAACCTGGCATGTTTGCTTGATTAAGATAATTTGACATAGGGGATATGGCATAAAAAATTTAGGCATATTACATATTATAAAACACATGTTTTGATGCATATATCCATATATTTAGATGTAAACATGAATATTTCACGTAAATATTTGCACAATAAATTTTGCTCTGATGAAATTATTTATACTGTATAGCAATTGAGTTATTAGAGTGATAACTTACACTGTTTTCTGCACTATTTATTATATTTGTGCATATATATACTGGATATATATCATTAAAATAACATTGGCTTCCCTTTGAAATGTAAAACCACTTTGAAGCATTTTACATATACTTTTATGTTTGAATTTTATCAATTTACATTTGTAATACAAAATTTTCTTAAAATAGAATTTCCAAATTTATGAAGCACAAGAAAAATGCTTTTATATCTTCTTTTTATCCCACTTTTGTCCTAAAGATGAATCTTTAGATCAGTGTAGTTTATACATGCAGTTTGAATAACACCAGGAGTACTAGGCACATTCTGGAGACTTAGCACATGTTAACCCATGAATATTGTGGGTCAGTATGCTATCTCAGAACAGTCAGTATACTCAGTGTGTTTTCTCCAAAAGGCACACTCGTTCAGGCGTTCCTCCATTACCAAGTTCCTTTTTTAGATACTATTTTAACAAATGTAGATGACTGAGCCTCTAGCTCAGTGCCTTTCCAATACAGTTGATTTTAAAGAGAAAATGAATTTTGCTAGAGTTTTGTTGCTATAGTGTACTTGATGGGCCTGCAGCATCAGCATCCGCATCACCTGGTGCTCTTACTAAACGCAGAACCCCAGGTCCCATCCCAGTCTTACAGAACTAGAAGTTGCATTTTAATGTCTCCGGTGATTTGTATGTTTATCAAACTTTGAGAACCACTGTGTCAAATAGGCTTCAGAAACAAACAGACATCTGAGAGTGAAAACAGACGGTATGTAAAAAAATGCAGGCTTAAGAAAAGGCAAATTAGTCAGAGGCCTTTCTCGGAAGAAGCAAAAATTCCCAGAAATTCACTAATTTCTACAAGCCATTGTATACCAAACGACACATTTTTAAAAAAGGTTTAAGATGTAATATACATAAAGCCCACACATAATTAATGTACACATCGATGAGTTTGGACATATGTATACACCTGTGAAAACATCTCTGTACCCTTCACCTTTAGACATTTTCCTCGTGTCTCCCCCACCCTTTGGGGGGCCGCAGTAAGGACACTAATACCATCTACCTTCTTAAGCTGGTGGGGCTGTGTGCATGGCTGCCCTGGGGGCTGGGGCGCTAAACTGTTTCGTGTACCCAGCGTTGGCCCTACTCAGCACCCCAACCCTACCTGCCCGCCGCCACCAAGGACAAGGGCTCCATGGCTGGGCGGCTGGCGGCACCGGGATGGGGCTACCCTCCTGCTTCTTCCTCCTCGCGCTCTTCTCCTGGCGACGGGCAGCTGGCGGCTGGCCAGACTTCGACCTCTGTCAGCCTGCGCAGCTCAGACACCAGCCGTCGCAGGGGAGCCCTGGCTGTGCCCAGCGGGCCGCAACCAGATGGTCAGGCGCAGCGGCGCCAGGTCTGGGTACCGCTCCCTGGGCGCTGGTGCGGGGCCCCCGCCAGGCCTCCCGCCACCCTCTTGGAGGACCCGAGGCGCGGCGGGTGAGCAGGGAGGCACAGGCACGGAGGGAGAGCAAGGGCCGCCACCTGAGGCCCGAGGACCGAGAGCTGACAGCAAGGAAGGCGCCCCCGGGGACCGCAGTCCCAGGAGGAGGACGAGGTCCAGGCCGCCCTGCAGGCGGGTGGGAGCCCGGGGTGGCCCCGCCCGTGGAGCAGGCCTCACAGGGCAGTGACCCAGGGCAGCCGCCACCGGGGACAGACTGGCCACGGAGCCGGTGCCTGGCAAGGAGCGCCTGCGCTGCGCGTCCTAGAGCAGAAGTGTGGCAGTTATCACTGCGGAGTGTGACATCCTGTAAGAAAGCGGCTGTGTGTGGTGTGCACAGACTAGCAGGAGGTCTACTTCAGGCCGCTTTGCAGAATTGTCAGAAGTCTTGTCTTATAACCCTTCCGGCTGGGTATCAGCTGTCAAAGTTGTAATCAGACTAGATGCACCCACCTAGTAACACTTCTCCACGTGGACCCTGCAAGGCCTGCTCGTCAATGTCTGTGTGGGCGACGCAAAGGCAAATGCCTATCCCGCGACCGCAGTTTCAGCTTCAAATAGATCATTTAAATGATGCAAGCGGGGAAGAAAGGCCCTGCTGAAAGTGCGCTAGTGGAGCAGATAAATGAGCTATTTTCTATGCCCATTCTCCATTCTTCCTTCTCAAAATACTCTGGGAAAGCTGTAATTTGACAAAGACTTTAAATAAAAGTATTGCAAAACAATTGAAAAAAGAAAGTACACAGCACAGTACTGTTGACAATAGGCGCTATGCTGTACAGCAGATCTCTAGAACCGATTCATCTTGCTAACTGAAATTTTATAACCATTGATCAGCCCCTCCCCATTTCCCTGTCCCCGCAGCCCCCAGTAACCACTGTTCTATTCTCTGCTTCTATGAGTTTGAGTATTTTAGGTGTCTCACATATGTGGAATTATTGTATATTTAAGATGTTTCTGCCCTGGCCGGTTTGGCTCAGGGCTTAGAGTGTCAGCCTGAGGTCCACAGAGACCGTTCAGTTTCCGCTAAGAGCATGTACCTTGCCTGCAGTTTGTCCCCGGCCCTGGTTGGGTCATGCGGGTGGCGGTCTCTCAATGTGTCCCTTTCACATCGATGTTTCTTTTGCTCTCTTCCTCTCTCTCCCTCCTGCTCTGTCTGAATAAAAAATGGAAAAATGTCCTCAGGTGAGGATTAAAAAAAAAAAGATGTTTCTCATAAAATAATTTAAATAGAACATGTACCAGTCATATCTAAAGGTATACATTAGCTATCTGAACAATTTCAGTATAAAATATACATAAT